TTAATAGGGAAAGCAAGAGCCGCGCGCTGCGAGTGAAGGAAAACAAGGAATTAATTCACCACTTCCCATGGGCAGGCAGGGGTTCAGCCACCTCCAGAACAGCAGAGCTCCACCATGTGTTACTTGGGAAGAGAAATGCCATGACTCCAAATATCCCCACTCTTCCTTCTTCTTCTCCCACTTTTTATGGCTGAGCATGACACTATAAGGTACGGGTCATATTGCACATCTCTTTGGGCAGTTGTGGCCAGCTGTCCCAGCTGTGTCCCCTCCCAGCTTCTTGTGTGCCCCCGGTCTCCTCCCTGGTGAGACAGTGTGAGAAAAGGCCTTGAGGCTGTATAAGCACTGCTCAGCAGTAACTCAAACATCCCAGTGTTATCAACAGTGTTTCCAGCATAAATCCCAAGCATAGCCCCACACTATCTACTGCAAAGCAAATTAACTCTACCCCAGCCAAAACCAGCACAGAGTAGAAGTAGGATTATATGAATTCCAATCCAGCAGTCTGTCACTTAAGACCTGGAGTTGTACTGCCTAACAGCAGGCACCAAAATAAACTTTGTCATATCAGATTTTCCTGCTAGTTTTCAGAGAGAAAGAGGCCCACTCAGAGGGAGATCTCACACCCCCCAAGCAGCAGATGCACCACTGCCTCAAGGCAGCCATCACTCAGTTGTGTAAAGTGGGAGCCACATCCCCAATCTGTCCTTAGCGTGCCAGTTATATACCTCAAGAGCAGTATGTCCTTAAAAGCTGACTGTTCCTTACACAACAGCACAGAAAAGCACACAGTTACAAACTTGAGAAGTATGATTATGTTAATAACTAGTCAAGTAATTATTTAGCATATTCTTCACTCGTTACTTATGTTTTCCCACAGTTAATGCAAACTGAAGGTGGATAAAAGCTTCTAGCACTTTCCTTTTATTGGGAGGGGTGATTCTGCTCAGAATACATGTGGATTTGGGCTAGGTGATTTCTTTTCAACTGGCCTGCTACTTAGAAACTCCATTAATTCACAAATAAATTTTATGCATCTTTACACACTTGTAATAAAACATTGTCTAATAAATTTTAATTTCTTCTCTCTAAAAGAGAAGAAGTTAACCATAATACCAGGAAATCCTACCTCCATGTATTGATTTCATTTCAGCAATACTTCACAACACAAAGGCTCATACACCCACAGACCCAGCAGATGCCAGGGTAATCAATCCTGGCCTGAAATAGGAGGGTGCCCTCAAGAACCAGTAAGTGGTTTTGTTCATTTACTCTTTTGTCCCTTCGAAAAATTAAGTCTCTTTCACCCTGGAAGATTTATTGAGCACTTGTAGGAAGAATGGATGTTTTATGCATGATAAGATGGTTTTCCAAAGAATGTGGTTCATTTATTCACGTCAACAGAAATCTAAGATAAAATTACAGTGTTAAATTATGCATAGTTTATATATAAATTGTGTGCTACTAAATGTGTTCTAAAGGGAACAAGTACTTTTTGCTCTGTGGGAATGGAAATTGCACATCAATGTTTTTCCCAAAGTTTCAGACATGTTTTGTCTGACATGTCCACTGTATCTTTAGCTTTTTAAGATAAATGAAGTATTTGTCAGTTGATTTCTTCATTGTATTAAGGTACATAATGCAAGTGCTACTAGCACACAATTAATTACATCTCTACCTAATTATTCTTCATCATTTTTCCCTTCAAGAATTTTATGTGCAGAGCTGTAATAGCACATATGCTAACACATAACAAAGGACATTCATTATCTACACCCTTTATAACCACATTGCAAATGTCTACTACACAACCTGTATGGTTTTAAGTACCTGTTGTAGCATTTGAACACCAGAGAGCAATTCAAACCTCTTGTTGCCTTGGGCTGTGTCTTGTACAGACAATGGAGTGAAGTAGCTGCAATACCTACTCTCCTCTGACCAGTTGCTTCCTTACAGGGAGGAGCCACAACCATGTCATAAAATATTCCAGGTGCACCAGAGATGCTCTCACTATGGTCACTTGTTAGCAACTGAATAGGAATTATTATTGTAGTGCATTTCCATAGAAATACTTCTTTTAGTTTTGGGTTAAAGAGTTCATTTTTTCCACTTGTTTAGGTAAGGTGCCAGAGGACAGATCCAAGCAAAAAATGGAAGGTATACTATAAACTGGGTTTTTTTCACTGTAAAGTGAAGAGCAGGTTCAAGACCACCTGATGAAACTGAATAGCCACAAGTCTGTGGGGCCTGATGAGACACATCCCAGGGTCCTGAGGGGAGCGACTGATGTTGTTAAGACATATTTGGGAAACCCTGGCAGTCAGGTGAAGTGCTCAGTGACTGGAAAAAGAGAAACATCATATTTTAAAAAAGGGGAGAAAGGACAACCCAGGGAAGGACAGACCTTCCCCTTCCTGGGAAGACTGTGGAGCAGATACTTATGGAAAAATGTTAAGCACATACAATACAAGGAGATGATCCAAGACAGCCAATATGGCTTCATTGAGGGCAAATCATGTCTGACCAATCTGGTGGCCTTCCATGATGGAGTGACAGCAACAGCTGACAAACAAAGACTGACAGATGTCAATTACCTAGACTTCTGTCAGCTGGTCCCACATGACATCCTTATCTCCAAACTGAAGACACGGATTTGATGTATGGAATATTCAGTGGATAAGGAATTGGCTGGATGGATGCAGCCAGAGTTGTGGTGAGTGCTCTCATGTCCAGGTGGACACTGGTGATGAGTTGTCTCCCTCAGGAGCCTGTCTTGGTTCCAGGGCTCTTTAATACCTTTGTCAACGACATTGTCAGTGGGACTGAGTGCACCCCAGCAAGTCTGCAGACCCGTGAAGCTGAATGGTGCAGTTGGCACAACAGAAAGAAGAGATCATATCCAGGTGGGCAAACTTGAGAAGTGAGCCCATAGGAACCTCAAGTTCAACAAATCCAGGTGCAAAGTGCTGCACCTGGGTCAAGGCAATGCCAGACGTGAGTCCAGACTGGGAGAAGAACTTTTTGAGAACAACTGAGTTGAGAAGGACTTAGAGAGTTCACTTGCAGCCCAGAAGGCAAATGGTATCCTGGGCTGTATTAACAGAGGGGTGGCCAGCAAATCAAGGCAGGTGATTATCCCCCTCCACTCTGCCCTCATGGGACCCCAAGTGGAGCGCTGTGTTCAGATATGGAGTCCTTAGCATAAGAAAGATGTGGACCTGCCAGAGAGAGTCCACGAAAATGGTCAGAGGACTGAAGCATCTCTCCTACAAAGGCTGAGAGAACTCAGGTTGTTCAGCCTGGAGAAGAGAAGGTTCTGGCAAGAGCTCATTGAAGCCTTCCAATACCTAAAGGGTAAAAAGAGCAATGAGCATATTAGTGATAGGACACAGAGTAAATAGCTGTAAACTAAAAAATTAGATTTAGATTAGATCTTAGGAAGAAATTCTTTATTTTGAGGGTGGTGAGGCACTGGAACAGGTTGCCCAGAGATACTGTGTACGCCCCATCCCTGGAAGTGTTAAAGGCCAGCCTAGATGGGGCTCTGAGCAACGTGATCTAGTGGGTGTCATCTTGCCCTTGACAGGGAGTTTGGAATTAGATGACCTTTAGGGTCTCTTCCAACCCAAACCATTCTATGCAAAGGGGCATTTCCAGAGAGTAATGGAAATTACTCTCAACAACAGCTGCTACCAACATCTGGGTAAGTACACTATATGTCTTACAGGGCAAAGGTTATTTTGGACTAGCTCTAGTATTGAAGGAATAAGGAAGTACTGAATGGCTGCAGACATCAGTATTAATGAGACCTTAACTAAGACTCACCCACTCTTTTGCAACAGAGGCATTCTGAAATACGTATTAAAAAGTAATACAGCACAGAGATACTCAAAGGGCTGCAGAAGTTGAGCCAGGATTTCTTGAGGACTCCTAAATCATTATTTGTACAGGATCACACAAAGACTCTTCCAACCTTTTTGTGGTCTCATGAAAAGTCTAATCATAGATACCATGAAAACTTTTCCCTGTCATGAAATATCAAAAATATTCTATTTTGGACATTTGGTTGACTCAGTGTTACTAGCTTTCCTTTCCTCCCCTCCTTTTCCCCCTGCCCTCTCCATTTAACAGAATCCAATATTTCTTTGTGTAAATGGATGTACTTTCATATTTTAATCAGAATTAATTGCATCTGGATTGCTATCAGTTTCTCAAACTCTCAGGAATTTGCAAAAATTAGCTTATGCTGAAATGTGAGACCAACAAAACGAAATTCTAGAGTAATATGGACTAAACACTGGCTAAATTATGTCAAAATGTCAAGATGTCAAAAATTTCAGAAAACAGAGCACAGAGAACAATGAAGATTTTAAAGTGCACCTGCTTTGCAAGCAAAGTGCAATGGCTCCATGAGGTGAACAGCGAGGTCAAAATTTTCATCTGAGGTGATAAAATATGGAATTTCTGGACTTGGAAACTACCTTCAGCCAAACAATTATGTGGAGAAGGGGATGCTTCAAAACAATTTGTATTGTCTGTGAATGGTTACAGTGTGAAAAACAGACACACAATGAGCAGTCAGTTTTTATATAAGCATATTATGCTTAGGTTTCATTACATCATTTATACCATGAGTTTAAATCATATTGTGTTTGCACAAAGCTCCTCTTGATGTCCACAATTTTGCAGTAAAAGATACAGTTATTAAGGCACTCTTGTTATTATTATTTGAATGATTGTAATTAACATGGAAATGCTCCTATCTCCCTGTTCTGTTTGGCGTCTATAAAATCCTCTATGCATGGAATGGTCCATTACTATATAAAAGAAAAACTCTTAAGAGGTTCACTGCTTCATGTTCCCTTCTGCCAGTGATCGTTTTCCTTAAACTCAGTATATTAAATGCTTTCTCAACTTACACTTGTGCCCTGAGGAAAGCTCCACTAAAAATAATTGTGTTTATAAACCTAGCGACAGATGTAGGGAATTTATCTCCTTACCATGGCAGGACACGCCCCCTCTATTCTCCAGATGGGGGATTAGCTGAGCAGCAGGAGGGACAGACATCGAGCTACAATGTTTCCTCACTATCTCCCTTAAGGGTTTCGGCTGAAACAAAGGAGGAGATGCAGGAAAGGAAAGCAGCTCGGCCGTTTGAGGCTCGGGGTTACGGTGAGCGGGACAAGCGGGACACGGCTCCACACGGGAATGACCCGCCCGGGGAAGGCACAGGCACCGGCGCCGGCCCGCCCGTTACCGCCCCCGCCGCGCCCCGCCTGGCCCGGCCCGGCCCCGCCCGCGCCTCACACGGAAGCAGCCGCCCCCTTCCGGGAACCGTGTCCGGCCGCGCCCCCACCTCGCTCCGCCCCGCTCCACCTTGGCCGGCACTGCGCCTGCGCGCCTCGGCGCCTGACAGCGCGCTCCGCCCGCGGGGCGGGCACGGCGGGGCCGCGCCCGGTGACGACGCTGCGGCCCCTGCGGCGCTCCCCGCCCCGCCCCGCCCCGGCCGGGCCCGCCCTCCGCCCCGGGCCGCGCGCGCGCCGCTGGCCGTGCGCGCGGAGGCGGCGCCAGGGCCTCACCTCGCGCGCTCCGCCCCTCCCCGCGCGCTCCTCGAGCGGGCAGCGGTGCGCGCGCCGCCGGCACCACGGCCGCAGGTGAGATGGGGGCGTGCGGCCGGGCCGGGCCGGACCGGACCAGACTAGATCAGACCAGACCAGGGTGAAGCCGCCGCCACTGCGGCCGCCGGGGCTGGGGCCGGGGCCGGGGGGAACGCAAGGACCCGGCTCCGCCCGCGTTGGGAGAGCTCCCCGGTGTGGGGGAAGCTGCCGTGCGGGCGGGGGCTTCCGGCGGCTCCGTACCCGCCGCTCTGCGCCGCCCGGGAATTAGCGTCGGGGTGCGGCTGCCGCCTCGCCGTGCCCGGCTGGCGGTGTGCGCCTGGCGGCCCCACCCCGGGGACGGTCGGGCGGCGCCCCGAGCCTCCTGCAGTGGCCTGGTGGCCGCTCCCTGAAGGTTACGGGCGTCGACCTTGGCGACCTCCGGCCGCAGCCCGCCCGGGCGCGGAACAGCGGGGAGGGGGGGCTGAGGCCGCGGCGGGGTCCGGCCGCCTGTTGCGGCGGGGGGCGGGTGCGGCTTCCCGGGGCTGCGGGGCGCCCGCGGGCGCCGCCCGTACCTGCGGAGGGCGGGGCGCGGCCGCACCCCGAACAAAGGGGCCGCGCCCCGGGGCTGGCGGGGAAAGGTTCGGGGCGCTCGCCCGGCGGGACCGGGCGGCGGCTGCGGCGGCGATTCCTGCCCCGGCCGGGTGCCGGAGACCCTGCGCGTGAATGTGGGCGCTGCGGTTTCTAGGGTAAGAACAGGGCTTCTGTAACATTTAATAGCTGCCCGCTTTCATGTGCTGGGCTTTTCTGTAGTCACTGCTAACTAGATCTTGTGTTTGCTTGTGACACAAGGGAGAAGTACGAAGTATGCAATTAAGTTCCCCAAATGAAAGAGCCTTTCGACGCTCACCTATTTGGTTAGGTATGCGATTTGGTGTTTGCTGTTGGGTTTCGTTTAAATGGAAGTTAATAGCTTCAGCTCCTTCTCCTTAATTGAGTCTTTAGGATGAAAATGTGAAGTGGGCCATAGGTATCCCAAGAGCCACCTGAAGAGCGATCTGTGTGTTTGTTTTGTAGCATCCCCAAACCATCCTGGCAGGAAGACTGCCAAAATGTTTTTATTTCAGACTCAAAATGACCCTGATATTTTGTTTCATGCTTGCATTTCCAGTTCTTATTGGAAAGAGACTTGTGTTCTGCACTGCACAACATTACACTTCCATAAGTCCTAGCAATATGTGTCTCTGCTGGCATTTCAGTTCACATACAGTTTTATGTTCAGATCTCTCCATAACCTATCAGTTGTTCTTTGTCTTTTCCACTGAAAGTTAAACTGAAAAGCGAGGAGCTCCTGAGAGAGGGGCTGCACTGGGAGAAGATCCTGCTCTTCTGTTAGTTTTCAGGGGAATTAGTAGTGGTTATACCTGGATTTTTAATTAAAAATCCACTTCTTTTTGGCTGACTTATTAATCTAATAGCATGTACCTCAACATTTAAGTCCTGAGAAACTGTGAGCATTCTTATTAGAGTGAAGAATAACTGCTTGAAATGTCAATCTCTGATGTAGATTTAAATCCTTCATTCTGTGCTCGTATGACAGTTTGTCAAACGTTTTTTGTGGAAGCCTCTAAATGGTAGAAATTTGAGAAATTGATAGTGCTAGTCATGTTTACTCTTTATTCTTTTCTACAGAAATAGGTGAATATGACATAGTGTTGCACAAAAATATCAAAAAAAGCCTTCAGTCCACTGCATGAGAGGTCAGCTGTGAGGTTAAATAAGTTATGTTGCTGGATAGTGAGTGTACTACTCCACTATTGCAAATTCCTTGATCTCAGTCTTTCCTTTTTAGTGCTGTTTCGAACTTGAGTGGGGGAAAGATTACAGACATCCTAAGGTGAAGTATTTTGAGTTGAATGTTCTTTGACATTCTTGTAATAATGTTGTCTTTTTTTTTTTTTTTTTGACCTTAAGGAATCTTTAGCAAGGAAAGTGAAAACTGGAATGTGTCCTAGCTTTGTAAACTCTGTCACCAGTGGTCACATACTCTTGGATAAATAACCCGCAGAAATAGTGGGCTAGTGAGGGGAAGGGATGGGCTGGGGAAAGTGGGGCAGGGAGAGATGTGGCTGTGAGCATAAAGCAGTGCTGGCTAAAGGTGACCCAGAGGAGCACAAGACTGTTAAACAAGTGTGGTTGGAGAACTTGCAGTGGTCCATATGTGTTCTGTATTCCCACTGACTTCTAGTTCCCATAAGAACAGTTGTGTTCTTAACCTCAGTTACTAAGTCATGCACCGATATCCCTGTATCTACTTCTTCTGAGGGATTATCCTGAAACAAAGATGTTCCATCTAAGAAGTGGTTTTGCTCCTGTTAAATTTCAAGTGTATCTGATTTGGAAGAAGATAATTGCTGAGGCAAAAGATGCTGCTGTCTTAGAAACTGATATATGGCAGTCTCAGATATCAAAGGATACTGTAGATACAGTGTCTTCTTATTTGAAAAGTTGTTTAGGCACTTCATTTCAGCCAACAACAGCATTTTTTTTTTTGGCTGCAGTTTTACAACTGAAGAAAAAATAATTATATGAGAAATATCTTTTAACTTTGTGGTTAGGTTTGGTTGCTTTGCTGTCCTAGCAAGTAGTGTAGGATGTAGTGGTCTTGGGAATCAGTGTCTAGTGTCTTCTAGACAGGGAACACCCCACCCCCTTGAAAGTGCTTATAGCCAGCTTCCAGTAAACTTCTAATGGCTCCAAGCTATGGAAATTACTTTGCATCTAAATTGAAATCTGTTTTATGTGAATGAGGTAGTTTGGTAGGCTAGTGACAGCATTCTTGTGAGCATATTGTGGGCTGCCTGCCTCAAACACACAATTACAGGACAACTGTGTTAGGCTTCCTTTCTACCTTAGGAAGAATTTATGTGAGGAACCAAGTAATTAGAACAGTTTGTATTATGTATGTCCACTAAATGTTCTGCAAAATATTTTGCATTTTATAACTTGCTAAGTAGGGAAGACACTGTTACATTTTATTAGTCTGTTGCAGTACTTAAAATCAGCTCTCAGGATAGTTATAAAAAGTTATTTTTAAGGCTTACTGTCTGCAGAATCTGAAAATGGTCATAGTCATTGTGGATATAAATAACTTAGAGTTGCTTTATAGCAAACGTACCTTGCAGATCAGGGGATCATTGAATCCTGTTTTGCTGCTCGTCCTGTTTTCTTAACTCTTGTGAGTCAGAGCACCTAAAGCCCAAGGATCTATCAGTGGTTACAGCTGCTTGTTGAATCCCTTTGGTAGTTGTGCAAACCATAATCACCAGGTTAGGCTTATAGGTTAGAGCTTTAGGGACTCTTTACAGCAGAAAAACAGAATCTGTAGTTCCCATAGAAAAAACAGTATGAGATTGCAAGGTAGGAATAAGTTGGAAAGAAATGTAGTATAGATTAGGTAATGCTGCCTTAGAATGAACCAGTGAGAGAGTTCATTGCCTTTGCCCAAAGGGGCTTAGTATTTACTAGTCATATTTTGTTTGGGATTCGGTTTGTCTCTCAAAATTTCCAGCACCTTTGGGACAATAGATTGGCAACACTGAAGTGTCCAGGCTTAGCACAGAGGGGTAATAATGGAGAAAGGTGTGTTGGAGATGTTAAATGACATGGGCAGTTACTGCAGAGAATTCAAAGTAAGCTGTGCTGTAATCAGTTTGTAACGGAGAGGAGCCAAGAATGTAAAGAAGGTAGAACAAACAAGAGATGTAGAGTTGGTTGCATGGTAACTCTGCAGTTGTTACTTTAGTGGAATTGATGGTGCTTTTTTTGTGATGTTGGCTCCTTAGTTGAAGTAATTATAATGTACATTGAATTCCTACCACTAAAGTTCATGCATTGTATGTATGCATAATGCATTGTGTTTTTCTCTATAGTAGTATGTTTACATCATTTGATGCAAGAGTGTGGAAATGTCTGGTGCAGTGGCCCACAAGGTTTCATTAAAAATTGGCATGTAAATATACTGTACCAGCAAACAAGTATTTCTGCAAATGATGGAAAATGCTATTTATGAAGGTGCTTTGCACCTGTGCTTAGTAGGTAGGCAGTAGGGATCAGCCATGCATTCAGGCCTTGGTACCTGTTTCTTTTTATGGTCTGAAACACTAATTTAGTAGCCTTCTGTACTACTGTAAGACTTGATCTTTAACTCTGATCCTTGTTTCTGACAGTCTGACAATGCTGTATGCATAGCACCTACACACAGGCAGCCAGAAATGTTTTTGTCGACATGAAATAGATTGCAGTAAACATGGAAGTCTTGCAAAAATGAAACATCTGTGAAGAAAGTAAAAAGCCAGCTGTGTGTGGAACAGTCCATCTCTTTACTAGTACTCCCATTCAAGCCCGTCAGGCAGGGTAGAGTAAAGGAGGTCTGTCATTTCAAGATGTAGCAGAGTAGTCCTGTTGGTATAG